GACGAGGAGCCAGCCCATGTCCTCGTCCGACGCGAGCAGGTCCTCGAGGACGCGGAGCGCGTCGCCGCCCTCGCCCTCGAAGGCGCGCGGGCGCCGTCGCGCGGCGGCCGCGGCAGCGTCGCCGGCGAGAGGCTCTTGGACCGCGGCCGCGGCGGCGTGCTCCGCTGGCGGCGTCGCGCGCTCGACGACCCGAGCCGCTCCGCGAGGCTCGGCGGCCGGGCCTGCTCGCCGCGCGCGTCGTCGCCCCGCGCCGCGGCGCCCGCCCGAATTGGGCTTTGCGCCGCGGGGTCCGGGCGCGACCAGCCGAGGAGATCGCCGGCGACGAGCTGCTTGAGGTACGACGACGAGACCTGGCCGACGAGCGAGTTGACGACGCTGTGGCGGAGGAGCTGGTGCGTGACCCCCTTGAGGAAGAAGCGCTCGAGGAACTCGGCGAGGCCGACGCCGACGCCGGGCTCGCCGTCGGGCCGGCCCGCGTCGTCGCCGCTGCGGAGGCAGGCCTCCGTGACGTCGACAAGCGGTAGGTGGACGGCGTCGCGGCGCCCGGCGCCGACCTCGGCCTGGCCGTGGCGGCCCATGAAGAGGTCCTTGACGTGGAGCTCGACGTTGCGGATCGACACGCGCTTGACGTCGACGCGGAGCGGGAAGTCCTCGAGCATGCGGCGGCACGCGGCCCGGTCGCCGACGCGGAGCGCCGACTCCTCCGAGTTGGCCGCGAGCTGCTCGAGCGCCGTGCCCGGCGCCGCCGCCTCGCGCGCCGCGTCGAAGGCGCCGGGCGCGCGGACCCAGCGGACCTCGACCTCGAGCTCGGGCGCCGACGCGTCGTCCTCGGGTCGGCGCCGGAGCTGGCCGTCGCGGAGCCGGACCCAGCCCCGGAAGCCGCCGGCGGCGGCCTCGAGGCGCCCCGGCTCGTGGTCGCAGTAGAGCGGGTCCGCCGCGAGCCACTTGGCGGTGACCACGAACGCGCCGAGCGGCGCGCCGCCGCCGCCCTCGTCGACGACGCTCAGACGGACGACCGCGCTCGGGTCCGTGAGCTGGAGCTCGAACGTCTCGTTCCACATCGCGCCGCCGCCGACGGCCGCCGCCGACTGCGTCTTCCGCCGCGCGCCGCGCGCGCGGACCTCGACGGCGCACGGGCCCTCGTAGCGCCCGGGTGGCGGCGCGGCGCCGCCGTCCGCGGCGTCCGCCGGCGGCGCCGCGCGCGCGAGCCGCCGCGCGCGGACGACGCGGACGACGAGGCGGTTCGGCCGCGGCGCGGCCGCGCCAGCGCCGGCGCCCGCGCGCCGGGGGCCGCCGAAGGCCTCGCACTCGGCGAGGCACCGCGCGATGGCGTTGATGTTCAGCTCGCCGTGGTGGAGCTCGAAGTTGAGGTCGACGCCCTCGACGTCGACGCGGTCGACGCGGACCGCCGGGAGCGCCGCGCGCGCCGCGGCGTCGCGCGCGCGGCCCGCGGCGTCGAGGCGCGCGCGCCGGCGGTCGTTCGCCGAGGGCTGGGGCGCCCAGAGGCGGCCGCGGAGGACGTCGCAGGCGACGCGTGGCAGCGCCGCGACGAGGCCGAGCGGCAGGACGAGCGCGAACGCGGCCTGTGTGGAAATCAAATCTTCAAACCGACTTCAATGTGCGCGTATGCGATCGTTTTGACGCGAGCTCTTCGGTTGTGCTTCGAAAACTCGACGACAGCAATCGATTCGTCCAAAAATCAGCCGAATCGACTTCGAATTGACCGAGTTAGAGAACTTTGAAGCTTGGCTGGCACCCCCCGAACCAGTGGTTGGTTTCCACACAGAACGCGGCGGCTCGGACGTCGAGCAGGTGGTCGCGCTCGAAGCCGGGCGGGTTGCCGAAGCGGAAGTCGCGGACGGTGATGTCGACGTGGAGCGCGAGCGCGAGCGCGTCGTACCAGCCCGCGACCGCGGGCCCGGCGACGTCGCGGAGCAGCGTCGACGCCGCGCCGCGGTCGCGGCGCGCGGCCGCGGCCGCGGGGCGGCGGCTCGCGCCGACCCAGCAGTGGACCGCGATGGCGCCGGCCTCGACGCGCGGGGCCGGCGCGCGCGCATCGCGCCGCGCGACGACGACGCGCGTCACGAGCCAGGAGAAGAGCGCGCCGAGGAGCAGCGGGCCCGCGGCCGCGGCGACGAGCGCGGCCGCGGCGCCCGAGGCGACGAGCGCGGGCGCGCGCCGCGCGGCCGCGAGCGCCGCGCGCGCCGCGAGCCCCGCGAGCCCCGCGGCCGCGGCCGCCGCGCCGCCGCCGCCGCCGCCGACGCCGAGCGCGCGGCCGCCGACGACGGCGGCCGCGGCCGCGGCCGCCGCGCGGCGCCCCCGCGCCGCGTTCCGCCGCCGCGCGTCCGCCGCGTCCCGGCGCTTCGCGGCCGCGGACGCCTCGCGCTCGGGCGCCGCGCCCCGCGGTCGCTCGAGCCAGACGGACGCGAGGACCGCGCCGTTAGCGCCGCGGAGCGACGCGGCGCCGCGCGAGGCGGGCCGCTCGAGGTGGATCCACCGCGGCGGCGGCGGCGGTGCGCCGCCGTCGCGCACGGGCAGCCCGTCGAGCGGGAGCACAGCGACGGCGACGCGGCGCTCGATGAGGTCGCTCCGCGCGCGCTCGCCGAGCACGAGCGACGCGTGGCCGCCCGCGCGGTTGAGGGTCGCCGCGACGGTCAGGTCGCCGTCGCCGCCCTGCGACGCCCACGCGGCGCCAGCGACGCCCAGGTCCTTGTCGGCGAGGCCGCCGCACGCCTCGGCGTCGCCGGCGACGAGCCGCGGCCGCAGCGCCCAGGCGAGGCCCCACGTCTCCGCGAGGTCGTAGCGCACGTCCGCGCAGCGGATCACGGACGCGCGGACGAGCCATTCGCGCGGCCCGTCCCACTCCCAGGCCCCGAAGCGCGCGGCGCCCGGCGCCGCCGCGCCGCCGCCCGCGGTCGGCGCCGCGCCGCCGCCCGCGGTCGGCGCCGCGCCGCCGCCGGCCGGCGCCGCCGCGCCGCGCGCCGCGCCGCCACCGTCATCGCCCCGCGGGAAGACGGCGACGTGCGCGCAGAGCGTCGCCGAGTCGCTGCCGTGGCCGCCCGTCGCCGACGTGAGCGGCAGGTAGCGCTCGCCGGCGCCGGCGTCGCGGCCGAGCTTGACGGCGAGGGCGCGGCCGCCGGGCGCGAGGCGCGCGCATGCGAGCGGCGGGGCGCCGCCGCCGCGCGCGGGCGCCGCCGCGGCGACGTGGTCGTCGACGAGGCCGAGGTCGAGGTCGCCGAGGTTGGTCCCGCCGAGGAGCCCGCCGTCGCGGTCGACGACGCGGAGCTCGACGCGCTCGCCGAGGTTGCAGCCGACCTCGTAGGCCTCGTCCCACGACGCGTCCGGGAACGCGGCGCCGCCGTCGACCGTCGTCTCGAACGCCACGGCGCCGCCGACGACGGCCCGCACGTAGGCCGCGCCGCCGCGCTTGAGCAGGTGAATATTCCGCAGGTGGCGCGCGCCGCGCACGGAGACGCGGGCGCGGTGGTCGCAGACGCGGAGCCGGTCGACGCGGTAGCGCGCGTCGCGCGCGCGCTCGAAGCGTCGCCGGAGCCGCGACGCGGCGACGCTCTCCGCGTGCATCGCCGCCCGCGCGGCGCAGGCGTCGCGGCCGCGCCGTGCCGCGCGCCGGAGGAAGCCGTGCGCGACGAGCGCCTGGCCGACCCAGTGCGCGTCCTGCGCGCTCGACGCGTCGTTGCCGGCATCGGCGACGAGCCACGCGACGACGTCGAGCGACGAGATGGAGTCGTCGAAGAGCCGCGCGTCGAAGTAGGCGCTCCGGTCGTTGACGGGCTCCAGGGCGCGGAGCAGGCGCAGCGCGAGCGCCCGCAGGAGCTCGAGCGCCTCGCGGGACACGACGACGGGCCCGTCGGCGCGGGATCGCTCGATCATGCGCAGCTGCAGCTGCATGGTCCGGTGTATAAATTTAGCATGTTCCGCGCCAACATCCAATTATACAACATCCAATTATTTTTGCCAGCCCACTTAAAACTGACAGTCACGCGGTTCACACCGCCAGAGTCCAACCCCCCACTCGGCCACAGCCACCCGCGAAGATACGCATCCCCCCTCACACACTGACCATGATGCTTCGCATTCAAGGCGGCGCAGCCGCTGCGGAAGACTGCGAGCCTACTGGCGACCCCGGGCCTGGCTGCCAACCCGCCGGCGAAAAGCTTGTAGGCCGCCGCGGCCTTAGGCTTTACGGCTCCCAACAATTTAACACGCAGATGCTCAAGTTACGGCCCGCTCTCGCTGCCTGGTTAACACCAGGGCAGCCATCCCCTTTGCTAGCCGACGCCATGTGAGATACAAAAAAAACCGGATTCGGATGCTTAGCGACGCGAATCTACTAAGGGAGAGCCTGAGCAAGTGCGACTAATAGCCAAGCCAACCGCGAACCCCTCAAGGTTTTGCCTGAAGGACATCTAAAACAGCTGCACCGGCCCAGAGCTGGCAAAATTTCGAGCGTTGCGCCATCCGGGGGTCCACACCATCAAGGACAAAAACAACCATAGGGCTGGGGGCGCCGGCTCTGCGGAGGCTCCCCCAGTAGCGACCCGCGCGACCCAGCCCCTGCGGCTGAGCGATGCTGGGACGACATGGATCGATCATCGCTGCTGCGGATGTTCGCAATCGCTCTCGGGACGACAAACTTTCCCATGCTATTTCCTCATGACCCTCCCCGCGCGCGCTCCAGCTCAGCCCTTCGCGCCTGCGCGTGCGCTGCCCCTCCCGCCCGTGTTCCCGGGCCACAGAGCCGCTGAGATCGTAATTGACTCGCCGGGTCTGGCGCGCAGCTATCGCGCGCAGATACGTCTGAGCCCATGTTTACCGGTTGCACTCGCTCGAAACGTCGAGCACGTTTTCGAGCGTGCGATGGAGAGTCCATCAGCTTCTCAGGCCCACAGCCCAGCCATAATGCAACGACGTACCACGATCCCAGTGGCTTTGTTGACCGCGCGCGTACGGACGAGGCAACGGCGAAAACTCGACATCGAGCCGATTGCGGGGCGACGCGAACGAGAGGTTTTATGGGCTGGGATGGGGCGCGTTCGGCTTCCCCGACCCCTTCGAGCTAGATTTGAGCCCTCGCAGCACCAGAGATCGTTCATCGTCACCCACGCATCGCCTCGGTGCAAGGGTTAGGTCGCGGGGCTCGAAATGGTCGAGCTCGTCTGGTCGGGTTCGGGCGCCGCCGCGGCCCGCAGCGGCTCCCGTTACCGTCAAAACAAGGACGAGATCGCTGGACCTAAAGCTTGGCGCCCCTCGGGGCACCGGTTCCGAGGCCGGAACCGCCTTTAGGTCCAGCCGAAAGACTCTGTCTCGACCATACTCGGGCGGTGCGTCCCCGCCCGCGCCCGTCAACTCCTCTCGAACGCGGCGG